GCGTCCAGATCGCAGTGAGCACCGCCGGACCTCAACCGGCGGCGTCCGGATGGCAGTGAGGACCACCGGGCCTCAACCGGCAGCTTCCGGATCGCAGTGAGCCCTGCCGGACCTCAACCGAAAAATGCAGAAAGAATGTCAGATAGAATGTGTCAGATAGAATGTCAGAATGCCAGATAGAATATGTCAGAAAGTATGCCAGATAGAATGTCAGACAGAATGCCAGCCAGAATGTGTGAGATAGAATAACAGAAAACATGCCAGATAGAATGTCAGAAAGAATGCCAGACAGAGAATGTCAGATAGAATGTCAGAAAGAATGCAAGATAGAATGCCAGATAGAATGTCAGAAAGAATGCCAGATAGAATGTCAGATAGAACGTCAGATAGAATGCCAGAATTGAATATGTCAGATTGCATGTCAGATGGAATGCCAGATAGGCTGTCAGATATAGAATGTCAAATAGAATACCAGATAGAATGTCAGATAGAATGTCAGAAGGAATGCCAGATAGAATGCCAGAAAGAATGCCAGATAGAATGTCAGAAAGAATGCTAGATAGAATGTCAGATAGAATGTTACATAGAATTTGCCAGATATAGAATGCCAGATAGAATGTCAGATAGCATGCCAGATGGAAAATGAGACAGAATGTCAGATAGAATATGTCAGTTTGAATGTCAGATGGAATACCAGATAGAATGTCAGATGTAGAATGTCAGATAGAATGCCAGATTGAATGTCAGAAATAGAATGTCATGGCGGGGATCCCTCGAAGTAGGGTAATTTCGTTTTTACCAGGAAGCTTATAGGCGCTGAACCCTAGACTTTTTTGGGGGGGAGATGCTTTCCATAAAAAAGCAGGTAGGTAGGTCGGTCGGTCGGTCGGTAGGGAGCAGCAGCAGGAGGAGGAGGAGTAGTAGTAGTAGCAATCCCTACCCCCTTAAAAATGAAATCCGAGGGGGGGAGACCCTTGAAATTTATTTTTCCGGCCTTTTTTGTGGCTTAGAACAGAATCAGCATACATCTGAACATATTTGAACAGCCAGAAGCCCCAGAAGCAGCAGCAGCACATCGACGACGAGAAGGTTCTGGACTTTGAAGGGCTTTGAAAGCAGGCTTGGGAAGGGTTCCAGACACTGGGGCCGACATCTACCTAAGCAAGCAAAATCCCCAGCGCATTACAAAGTTGAATATCGGCCTATTTAAAGAATAGGATTGGACGTGGAGCTGACCATTTTTTAAAGGCTTTGGATGGTCATGAGCCCACTGCCGGATGTAGTTTCCAGAAGCTGCAGGCAGCACTTTACAACATCAAGAAAGCAGACCACTTTTTTCCAATTTGTAAGTGTCCAATCTGGGACCGGCAGGCCTTGGGGAGCAGGAGCCCGACAAGGGCTGCTCAGGCCAGTGGTGAGGCCCAGGGTTCGAAGTATCGATGGGCCACCACCCCATGTAGTGCCCAAAAATTTGCACAATCCCATCCCCATTGCCTGCTGAAGCAAATTGAAAAACACCAAGCAAAAAATGCAAGAAACAGGATTGATTCAAAAATAAATGATGATCAAAGCTTCGGCTTCACTCCCCCATGTAGGCCCATAGGTTCAACAGGTCGCGCTCGATGAATTCGGTGAATCGTTGTCGAATCACGTCGAATCCAATGAACCCACAACTTGTGCAGGTGAAAGTGCTTTCAACTATAGGAACTTAGGATTACCTCTCTCTCTCTCTCTCTCTCTCCCTCTCTGCCCTTTTGCTTGTTTTGATCAGTCCAAGGAGGTGGCAAGCGCTCAGGCCGAAATGCAGCGCATTGCTGAGTTCTCGGAGGACATTTGCTTTCTGGAAATGCGCAGATACCGATGCCCATAGTGTTAATTCTAGACTCTACCATTGCTCCAAACATGGAACCTCTCGCGCATAGCTTTTCAGATGGACGTTTGGAAGCTTCCTGGAAGCTCTTTTTTCAACTCAGGGAAAGCACTGGGTTTTCAGTTCCAACAGAGCCGGGTCTTGTCCAACAAAGCTTTTCCATATAGAATGGGGTGTGCGTTGGCAGAAACTCGACGCACGCCGCTGCGAGAGGATGCAGTGCCTCTTGGAGGAGCTTGGGTGGGTAACCTTCGGGCAACAACGTGGTCCTGCGGCCAGATTAATGAAGCTAAAGCAGCGTTTTCTGACCATAGCAATCCAACGAGGGTGTTTGCGGACGAGCCAGTATTCTGCCCCCTTGTGACTTCCGCACGGAACATCATGGAACTATTCCTCAAGGGTTTTTGATTTGCGCAGATTCACAGTCACTTCAAGGACCTGGCTTCCGCTCGGACGGCGCAGCTTGCTGCAGCTTGGAAGTTGAGGACCCTTGCCAGTAGCGTTTGGTCAACTAATCAAGCTTGCTGCCCACAGCATTACCATATGAGCAACTGCCAAAACCTGCGATGAAGGCAGAAGTAGGCGCATTGCCGTTTTTGAGCCCCACAATGCCTCTCCTGAGGACATCCTGGCAGCCAGCGAGCTGGCCACCACGAAGCGGCGGTCATCCACGTGGCCTTACTTGTTGCTTGCGTGTTCGAAGTTGACGTTGTCCAGTGAGCTGGCCACAAGGAAGTGGCAATCATCCATTTTGTACTTCTTGTTGCTTGGGTGTGTCCCACGCTGCTCCTGTCGCGCTTGATCACGCAGCGACGTGCAAAACCTATTGTGTGTTGTAGCGAGGGCTCTTCCCAACGTGATCGGGCAGCATAAGTGATGCCCCACATGTACTAAAACCTTATTGTATTTTGGGTGAAACTTATCGTTCCTAAAGGTTTCCCTCATTTTAACTTACTTAGTCTTCACTGTAGTGACGCTGACACCAAGCTGGAGCTTCCTTGGTCGCAGGTTGCTGCTCGAGGTCCATCCTACTTTCTTGCCTTGACAGAAGGCATGTCTGTGATCAAGTTTGGGAATTCTGTGCTACAGACAGAAGCTTTTTTTCGTTGTTTCCTTCAGAGAAGGAGGGCAAAAAGACAGCCATGCGCAAGCTGGGAGAGTTTGCGGTGGATGTGGATAGGTTGGCGCCGCCCGTGCTGCTGCGCCGATGCTTCTCAGATCTTCAGAGAATCGTAAAGGGCTTCAGGTTCTCATTGCGTCTCAGTGTTGCTTCTCCGGTGTTTTGCAACGTGAGCGCTCGGTTCCGTGCCCTGTCCGTCTGGATATGTTTGCATGAGCGGGGCGCTGCTTCCTGGTGGCCAACTCCTTCAAGATCCATCAAGCACAGCAAACTTTGAAAACTCACACAGGCCAAGAAGAGCAGCCAAATGATGCCAAATGGATGACCGCCGCTTCCTGGTGGCCAGCTCACTGGCGGCCAGGATGAGCGCACGTGACAAGTGGACGACACACAAGCCGCACCCACTCACTGGCGGCCAGGATAAGCAAACATGACAAGTGCAGCGTGGGCCACAGACGCAAGCGGGCAAAATAGACAACCGTCGCGTCTTGGCGGCCAGTTCACTGGCGGCCAGGATGATGGAACATCATATGTCCCCCCCATCCCCTGCAAATTTAATCAACTGTCAGTGTGCTGATGAAGTATCGGTCATGAAAGAATAACAAGAGCCCTTATAGCGACAGGGTTTGACACACACTCCCGCACATGCCAAAAACGTCGATGATCACCACCGCCTTTTCTCATTGCTCTGACATCAGCTCTCTGCTTGGAGGCGGCCTCCTCCTTGGAAGCGCAGAGTGGGGCCCAAACAGGGCAGCTGAGTTGGTCTCACAGCGAGCCGTTGCTCAAGCGCGTCAAAAATATGCAGGTGACGCAATACTATTTGGAGTGTTTCCGCAGGATTCAGGGGAGTTTCAAAATGAACTGGGATGTTGTGATTTGACCCCCCCAAGATGGTAGGGATTTGTAGTAGTAGAAGTAGTACCAGCAGTAGTAGTAGTAGGAGTAGTGGTAGTAAGTAGTAAGGAGTAAGTAGTAGGTAGCAAGTAGTAAGCAGCAAGGGGCAAGTAGCAAGTAGCAAGTAGGAAGTAGTAGGTAGTAAGTAGTAGTAGGTAGTAAGTAGTAAGTAGTAGTAGGTAGTAAGTAGTAAGTAGCAAGTAGCAAGTAGCAAGTAGCAAGTAGCAGTAGGAGTAGTAGTAGTAGTAGTCGTCGTAGTGGTAGTGGTAGTGGTAGTGGTAGTGGTAGTCGTAGTCGTAGTGGTAGTAGTAGTAGTAGTAGTAGTAGTAAGTAGTAAGTAGTTTGTAGTAAGTAGAAAGGAGAAAGGAGTAAGGAGTAAGGAGTAAGTAGTAAGTAGTAAGTAGTAAGAGTAGTAGTAGTGGTAGTAGTAGTAGTAGGTAGTAGTAGTAGTAGTAGTAGTAGTAGTAGTAGTAGTAGTAGTAGT